AAAATAGACTATTGTCTTGGCCTGAGTGATGTCATTTTTTTGCTTTTGCGACAAAAATGCCAACTTAAAATAAATGAATTTTTATTCTCACATAGCAAAAGCTTGCATTGCATCCTCAGTTGTAAGCTTGTTAATAAAGATGCCGCATAATGATGATTATTTCTAATTTGGTCAACCAATTAATATTTGGCAATGAACTATAGATATTATAAATGGATGAAATATCTTATTTTCCAATAAATAATTACACATTGTTTTATATCAATGCATTCCATTAGTTTGTCATATTTCAGAACATTCCATACAACAAAAAAAAATGCTTACTTTAGGAATGATTATTTTGTTCAAAATGTTAGAGCTGAGCAAAGTGAATATTTAATCAGGAATTATATTTTGTTTTAGCTAGACATTACACAGTATTCAATGGTATTTTCAAATTTTTAAATGACCAAATTTTTGTGGGCATGTCTTGAGGGCCTTTATCTTTGATTGCCAATCATTCATGGTGGACGAAGCAAATATTCAATCAGGAATCATAGTTGGCTTAGCAGGACCCCAAAATATATATGTAGAGGTAATATGACTTTGGAATTTTTTACTAATAGCTCTATGCAAAAGTTTTTATAAGATCGTTATGGAAAGTTAGTACTTTACATCAGATAATTGGAAAGAAATAAGCAAATTAATATTTCTGACCATTTTGACCCAGTCTTCAATGTTAAACCATCCTTTACTAATTTTTTTATAAGCAAAATACAATATATATATTTAACTATAAATTGTATTTTGTCCTTAATCTGCTTTACATCCATAATCTCAAACATGATGGTCAAGATAATCTTCCTCCCATTTCCCAGTTGTGTTTAATTTTTTTTACCACAAATCCATAACACAAGCAACATATTTGTGCTTTGAAAGCCTTTCAAAACTATGTTTCCAACTTGGATTTTAGGATAAGTAAATGAGAGAAAATTTTTTTTAACAATGGTGCAAGATATGATATATTAATATCTAGCATAATAATAAAACTTGCAAAACAATGGATTATTTTTAAGATTGATTTATTATTATATTATTATAAAATATGCAATCTAAAGGATATCTATGAATAGATGACGAGGATGGATGATGACTAAGGAGGAAATGGTAAAGTTTATTTTGAAAATATATATACTGTATATTCTAATCATATGTATACAATTTTGACAAATGACATGAATAATAATTAGCATGCTGAAGAAGATGATATTGAAAAGCTCTAAAAATGAAGAATAAGATATTTGAGAACCTGACAAGATCTATGATGAGCCAGCTATGATAATAAAAAAAGATTAAGAAAAAGAATCATAAATTTCATTTATTGAATATAATTGTGTCAAGTATCCCTTTGTGGTCGCTCCCTGACCAAATTTGATTTTTTTAAACTGTGACATAAAGAGAATTGGATGAGTTTTTTAATATCTTTAAAGTAATTAAACAATGTTGCTGTATATGGGTTCTATTTAGAAAATTAGCCAATTTAAACAATTGCTGAACATATAATGATATTCTCGTTATACCAACATTTTTTGTTTGCACAGAGAGTGTCATTATAACAAGAGTGGCTGTAGTACATTCTCCAAAATTTTATTGTTTATTGTTTATTATTCATTTCTTTGGCACTTCGTGTGCTTGTTTAGACATTTGGCTAACCAAGAATGGCACTGGTTTTTCTATAATGTCTTTTGAACATTCATACTCTCTAACCATTGATTGATGGATCAAACACAAATGCTTCTTTTCAAAAAGAACTAGTTGTTAGACAACAACCAAAAGCAGCATAAGAAGCAAAGATTTGTTGATAATACTCTAGGCAAGATTCCATTAAACATACCTAATTTGATTATATTATTTCTTCGATAGCATGCGTTTATTTTTAAAGACTATTGCATTGATCAATCAGAGATAGTGTCAGCCCCCAAAACTATTTTGAAGAGGCGAAAGTCAAAACTAAAATCAAAGTCAAAAATCAAAACTAGTTTCAAATTTTTTGACAATCAGAGAAATAACTGTTTGAATATAAAAAATAAAAGATTGAACTGTAAAATTCAAATCCATTGCTATTTTCTGAGACTTAGATACTACATAACCACTGTTGCCAGCGTTTTAAATTCCCAAATTTGTCAGCTTAGGCATTTCCAGCTTCGTTTCCATGGGAGCCTTATTTTTTCTTTTCGTGATGGGCTTTGATTATAGGTATCATCTCCTGCACAACCTCAGCTGAGTTGAATTATATATTAATTAACTATCCTTTATTTAGCAGTTGTATGTGTTGGTGGTTCTGTTGTAGTTGAGCTTGTTTAAATAAGATGTAGGTAATTTGAATTTTATTGATCATTTCAAAACTTCATGGATGTTTTTTAGGAACCAAAATATTCATGACTCCTTATTTTGATGTTGACTTTGATTTATCACTATTATGGATGTTTAATACAGTTACAATCATCGATAATAAGATATAGAAGGTGCTGGCTGTTCCTTTTCAAGCTCTAAAATCATCAAATTTGTCATGGTTATCTGGAAGAGAGGCTTTTTTATTAGTCGATAAACAAGGAAAAATTTACATGATTAAAGCATGGCCAAGGCTGGCATCATCATGCATGAATTTTCCATTCCAATTCTCAGTAAAGCTTGCTTTTGAATCAGGGTTTCATACTCAGACAGCGTTCATGATGAAATGATTGCCCTATAAAAAACATTCTTGTTTCTGCTAGGACCCCAGAAACTACATAGATAGGTTACCCTAAAATTTTCAAAATTTACTAATGAGTTTACCCAATATTTTTTATATTAGATTTACCCAAGTTGGTAATAACTCTCTAATCTTTAATAATAAATTTACCCAAAAATATCTATGACAAAAAAATTTTTTATTTAAAAAATTTGACTAAAAATAGTGTGAGCAAAATCATGATATTAAAATAAATGAACATAATAAGTTAAATAATTAAAAAATTAATTAAATCAGTTAGATTAATGTTCACCTTATTGATTGCTTTATTTAAAGTGTTACATCTACATAAAACCTCACAATTATTACTAGTTTGATTTATTCATTGTAAAGTTTTGACAATTCAAACTCCTAACTCACATAAAGAAATTTTATCCAATATCCATTTAGCATGACATCTCAAATTATCAATCAATTCATCATGTTCTTTAGGTAATCTTTTCCAAGAGTAAATCATTTCTTTTTTTCATCACATAAACCACAACAAGCAACTCTAGTAGAATCAACATCATCAAAAATAGTGCTTTGTTAAAAAAAGATTTTGTACTTAATTGTTTGTCAGAAACGATGCCACATTTACCACATTGATTATGACTTATTAAATTCCTTTCTCTATATTCTCTATCCAATTTAACTGATTTGCCACAAATACATTGAACTAATTTAGAATTAATTTCCTTGAGGAAATATTTATTTCATCATTTGTTTCAGCTACAATATTTATTTGGGAATTAACATTAACCTCAATTTATTACTGTCTCTACATACATTCTCATTTTCATTCTCATTTTCATTGTCCTCATCTTCATTCTCACTTTCATCTTTGCTTTCATCTTCAAACAATAATATAGTACAGTTTTCATTCTCAGGAATTTCAATTAATTCACTAACATTTTCTGAATTGCATGAAATATTTTTAGGATCTTGATTACAAAAAAATTATTTAAGTTTAATATACACATATATTAATGGGGTGTTAGATATTAGTATAATCACAAACATAGGGGAAATCAAATAATAAAATCAAATAGTAATGATTTTTGTTGATGATTTTTATAATAATTAACTAGAGTGATGATGAGTTGCAATGCATTGCAACCACCACCGCCATTCTTATGATAAACACTTACCCTCGATCCTCAGCCACTCCTTGAAGACATTTTTAATTTGAAAAAAAAAATTTTAAAATGCATTAAGGATACCAGCTGCAACTTTTGATGATGGTTGCTACCACCTTTGCGTCATATAAAAATGATTGCAACCACCTTTACGACCATTTTGTTTCCTTTTTTGGATTGCGACATGGAACACTAAAATGCATTAAACCAAATAATATTAATAATATTATTATTGGCACTTGGTGTTGCACAAGATTTTTTTTGACAACATAGTGGAAATTTGAAAGGTTACACTATTTTTTATATTGTGCATGTAACTTTACAATACTGGCAAACATTCTGGCAATAAAAAGTAAGTGATGAACTGGACATCAGGAAAATGGGTACAAATATTATGCATATATAATACGTAATTGCAGGGATTAAGCATATAGTATATGTACAATTTGCATACATAAAAAAATACACGATTAGTATGCATATTATATGCTTAATCCCTGCAATTGCATATTATATACGCATAGTATTTGTACCCATTTTCCTGATGGATTTGAACCAGATCTGAACTTGACCTCCAATTTAGAGAGGCAACAACTATATACTGGTGAAGTTTTAGGAGCAATGGGTTCTGTATAAAATTTCGT